TATAACAAGTATATAAGTGTAATTGTTTTTGCCCTTATGTTAATAATCACTACTATATATCCATTAATATTTACTACGCAAACTAAAGCCACAGATAATAGTTTAAATAGTGATTTACTGTTGTGTAACAATATTACAAGACTTAATGAATTGTGTTTAAATGATGATGAATGTGGAAGAATAAAAGATACAGATGTTACCACAGAGGAGGGTGTACGCACAAAAATGCAAAAGAGGTCTAATTCAGATACGTTGTTAGTTGAGAAAAAAACTAGAAAACGACATTCTAAAAGTGAAGATGAACGAAAGAATTTGAGGAAAAAAAGAAGAAGGAATGAAATAGAAGAAAAAAATATTTTTTTTAATAAGCATTTTTTTTGCAAAATAAAAACAAAACCAGATCATATCTATACGTGTGCTTTAAAGAAGGTCTCAGCTTTATTTTTTGAAATATTTAGTAACAACGCCATAATTAGAGAAAAAGCTTTACAACTAATGAAGAAAAAAGAAAATTTTTCAAAAAGATTTTCGCAAGAAAAATATTTTTATTTTGTAATGAGATTTATACTTAAAAAGGGTTTTTTAAAAACAAACGACCCATCTACATTGTTCTTAAAAACTCTTGCATTTCATACGTACACGTACATTCAATTAATTAGCTTAAGTAGAATTTTTGATGATGATATGTCGTGTCCTGCTGCAATATATAATTTTGTAAATTGCGCCTTAGATATTAAATTTAATAAGAAATGTAATTGGAAAATTGATCAATTATTAGTTTTTAAGAACTACGATATCAGGAAATTGCTTACTTATTCTTTAGTTAAAGACAGAATTACTAAAAAAGATTTTGAAATGTGTTATAGGTAAAAGTGTTACGTGTTGATAATAAATGATTCTAATCAATTATTTACATCAACATTTACAAACAGTTCTTATATCTAACCTTCTATATTGTATAATGCAACAGTCTTTCCTGAGGCATTATAAAGGTCTTTATATTAACATGACCAGCTATCATTTTATTTAAAAAAATATATTTGATAATATCATACTACAATAAGAAGTTAAATAAAGTTCTCAACCCATATTTTAATATAAAGCATAAGTATAATATAACAATTTTTAAATGCAAAGCAAAGAGACGACGATATGTGAATCAAGACATTGCTTAAGAATATCAAAAACAGTATAAAGAACATAGTTCCGGGCGATTAGTTTTGTATATAATAT